TCACCAAAATGGGGAATTTATCACAAAAATGGGAAATTTATCACAGAAATGGGGCAAAACAGCCCAAAATTGGGAAAATTGTCACAGAAATGGGAAATTTATCACAAAAATGGGGGAAAGCAGCCCAAAAATGGGAAATTTATCACAAAAAATGGGGCGAAACAGCCCGAAATTGGGAAAATTATAACAGAAATGGGAAATTTATTACCAAAAATTGGGAATTTATCACAAAAATGGGAAATTTATCACAAAAAATGGGGCAAAAAAGCCCAAAATTGTGAAAATTGTCACAGAAATGGGAAATTTATCACAAAAATGGGAAATTTATCACAGAAATGGGGCGAAAAAGCCCAAAATTGGGAAAATTGTCACCAAAATGGGAATTTATCACAAAAATGGGGGAAAGCAGCCCAAAAATGGGGAATTTATCACAAAAAATGGGGCGAAAAAGCCCAAAATTGGGAAAATTGTCACCAAAATGGGAATTTATCACAAAAATGGGGAATTTATCACAAAAATGGGGTGACAAAGCCCAAAATCGGGAAAATTATAACAGAAATGGGAATTTATCACAAAAATGGGGGAAACCAGCCCAAAAATGGGGAATTTATCACAGAAATGGGGCAAAAAAGCCCAAAATCGGGAAAATTGTCACCAAAATGGGAATTTATCACAAACAGGGGAAATTTATCACAAAAATGGGGCAAAACAGCCCAAAATCAGGAAAATTAGCCCAAAAATTGGAAATTTATCACAAAAATGGGAAATTTATCACAAAAAATGGGGTGAAAAAGCCCAAAATTGGGAAAATTGTAACAGAAATGGGAAATTTATCACAAAAATGGGAAATTTATCACAAAAAATGGGGCGAAAAAGCCCAAAATTGGGAAAATTGTCACCAAAATGGGAAATTTATCACAAAAATGGGAAATTTATCACAGAAATGGGGCGAAAAAGCCCAAAATCGGGAAAATTGTCACCAAAATGGGAAATTTATCACAAAAATGGGAAATTTATCACAGAAATGGGGCAAAAAAGCCCAAAATTGGGAAAATTGTCACCAAAATGGGAATTTATCACAAACAGGGGAAATTTATCACAAAAAATGGGAAATTTATCACAGAAATGGGGTGAAAAAGCCCGAAATTGGGAAAATTGTCACCAAAATGGGAATTTATCACAGAAATGGGAAATTTATCACAAAAATGGGAAATTTATCACAGAAATGGGAAATTTATCACAAAAAATGGGGGAAAGCAGCCCAAAAATGGGGAAATTTATCACAAAAAATGGGAAATTTATCACAGAAATGGGGCGAAACAGCCCGAAATCGGGAAAATTATCACCAAAATGGGAATTTATCACAAAAATGGGGGAAAGCAGCCCAGAAATGGGAATTTATCACAGAAATGGGAAATTTATCACAAAAAATGGGGCGAAAAAGCCCGAAATTGGGAAAATTATCACCAAAATGGGAATTTATCACAAAATGGGAAATTTATCACAGAAATGGAAAATTTATCACAAAAAATGGGACAAAAAAGCCCAAAATTGGGAAAATTATCACCAAAATGGGAAAATCATCCCAGAAATGGGAAATTTATCACAAAAAATGGGGCAAAACAGCCTGAAATCGGGAAAATTATCACCAAAATAGGAAATTTATCACCAAAATGGGGCAAAACAGCCCAAAGTCAGGAAAATTAGCCCAGAAATGGGAAAATTAGCCCAAAAATGGGAAATTTATCACAAAACATGGGAAATAGACACCAAAAATGGGGTGAAACAGCCCAAAATCAGGAAAATTATCACCAAAATGGGAAATTTATCACAAAAATGGGACATTTATCACAAGAAATGGGGAATTTACCCCAAAATTGGGAAATTTACTCCAAAATGGAGAAAATTATTCCAAAATTGGGAAATTCATCCCAAAATTGGGAAATTTATCCCAAAAATGGGGTTACCAACCCTAAAAATGGGAATAGGGACCCAAAATACGGGACACTGCCCAAAAATCAAGAAAATTTAACCCAGAAATGGGAAAATTACCCCAGAAATGGGAAAAAATATCCCAAAACCGGGAAAATTTACCCTGAAAACGGGGTTACAGACCCTAAAAATGGGAAATTTACCCCAAAAATGTGAAAAGAGACCCCGGAAATGGGGAAAGAGGCGCCAAAATTGGGAAAAATATATCCCAAAACTGGGGATATTTACCCCAAAAATCGGGAAAATTTACCCCAAGGATGGGAAAATTCATCCCGAAATTGGGAAAATTATCGCAAAAATGGGGGATTTATCCCAAAAATGGGAAAATTTTGGGATCCCCCCCCGGATTTTGGCTCTCACCGATCTGGAGCTGCCGCCGGATCCGCTCCAGGCTCCGCTGCCGGTACCGGGCCTGGGCGGCCTGGAGGCGCCCGGTCACCCCGAAAAACTGCTGGGCCAGGAGCCCGTGCTGGGAGGGAACCCCAAAA